AAAAAAAAAAAAAATCAGTCATACATATTTGAAAATTTTTATTCATCAAATCTCAATTAGTCAATTTCATGATGAGAAATAATAGCACGAATCAAAAAAATTGAATGCGCTTAAAGAAAGCACGATTTACATATGTTCTCATTTAATACAAGAGCTATATCTACTTATCATTGAAGAGTTGGAGAAATATGCAAAAATTTATATATATATAAATAATAAAATTAAATTAAACTCATGTGTTTCTTTTTTTTCCTCTATCAAGAATAGGCTTGCCATATCTTTTTTATGTAGTAGAAACTTTTGTGGCAACCTATACATATGTGAACTGCCTCATATACTATTACAAACAGTTTTGCCTCAAGAGCTACTACTGCCAATCTTCCATCAATGGTCCACAATAGAGGAAAAAAGTAAACATTATAATTAAACTTTACATATTTGATAATATTATTAATTTGTTTCAAAATAAAGTCCGAGATCCAAGATCTAATTATCTAATGGACCACGTATATCAAGAAAGTAGGCAGTAGTCTTCAATACCACTTTCTACAAATCTCTTCAATTGAATGCTTCCACTTGTTTGATGACAATCTTGAAATTATGCACCTAGCATTAGCCACGGGACATCTAGATAGGCCAAAATATCCAAAACAATAAGTGCCCAACTTTGATTCTTGACCTCAAAACTTTTATCTTCCACTTGTTAAATTTTCTTTCAAAACAATCCCAAACTGAACGTTCTTGAAAAAGCATGAAAAAAGAAGAGATCAATGTTGAAACATTTTGATGTTAGTTTTTTATGGCTCATATGAACCTTATTGTATATACACTACGATGTACACTTTAATTTACACTTTGTTACATGGCATTACCCTATTGAGTAGTTTAAATTTCAAACAGTTTTTCCATTCAATTAACACTTGACAACAATGTAAGTATCAATCAAATTGTTAAAAATCAGTGTACAAATAGTAAAGTTCTGGCTCATATAATCATCATTCCCACATTGCCTAATATTGATAGTCATGTTAGTTTATTATTTCTTTTCCTACCAAAAATTGAAACAAAAAAAGATCCTCCATGATGAAATTAAGATTCATGGTCCCACCCACGCTTCCAAAAACATACTTCTAGGCTTTACATTCTGATGAACACGTTCTATCAATACCCATCTAGGTGGGTAAATGTCAAGTGCCCACTAAATGAGTGCAAATGTTTGATTCAAATAATTCTGCGATAAAAAATTTTACATTAATCACTTGTAATTATACAATTTAATTGTACTTAATATTTCTTGACCTTAGATACATAGCTTTAAATGCATATAAAAGGTCCATTAGAATGATTGACCCAACTCTCTTTATTAGATCAATTATTAGAAGCCTACCAAAATATGAATTTTCACTTTTTCACACACTTGTTCACATAGGAAGAAATACTTGCGAACATGTGTTTCTAGATACAAATTTTTGGTGTTAAAATATGTGAGATGGGACTCGAAAATGTTGAAACATTTTGATTCTGAGTTCCAAAGGCTTGAACTAAGAATTTTATCTAAGTATTGTGTTGATGTACTGATGCGAACCCCGTAGCAATGGAAACTACGAAACCCACAACAAGATTGATGGGGAATCCAAGAACGCCAATACTAACCCGATTTTGGATCTTGAACCCCAAGAATTGAACCAAGAAACCCTAGATCAGCGAAGAACCTAAAAGCCCTTGATTACAATTAGAAGAACCCACAATCCGATTAATAGAATGCCGCAAGAAGTTGAATTTTGATAAGTTTCAAGATTGTTCAAGAAGAACAATAAATTGAAAGAAGAAATTTCTCTCTCTATAATATTAATTCAAAAGTCAAAAGTTCAAAGGTTGTTACAATGAAAAGTAATCTCTTATTTATACTAATGAATAAAAACGTCCAAAACCATCAAATTATGGTAATAATTTGATTTCATAAGAATTCTATCGAAACTAGGAAATTCGGCCAAAATTAAAAAATTCGACAATTTTTTTGGCTTGTACGGCCGCATGGTTCAACAGGAATTGGACTTTTGGTTTTCGGTATGTATATGTGCGGTCGCATGTGGTTTTGCATGTGCGAGCGCATGGTGTTGTTTTCAACCTCTGCTTTCATCGCTTGATAACAAATTGGTCCAAGTTGATTCGGCCTTCGACCCGAACATGAAAGTTGCTCCATTTTGAGTCCCGAATATGGTTCCATCAATGGTTTCTTCAACGAGCAATCACATCGCTTGTTTCACTTGCTTTGCCCTTGATCGCGTTATTGGTCCGCCATCAACTATCAACGGGCCTCGTCTCGCACTTGCCTTCGTCAGGCTCGACTCCTGAATCATATCATCCCCTCCCTCTTCAAAAGGATTCGTCCTCAAATCTGAACCTGCATCAAACAGAGAGAAGTCAGATACATCAAAAGTAGCCGAAACATTGTACTCACCTGGTAAATCCACTTTGTATGCATTGTCATTGATCCTCTCGATGATTTGAAACGGTCCATCGCCTCGTGGTTGCAATTTTGACTTCCTCTGTTCTGGAAAACGCTCTTTTCTGAAATGCACCCAGACCCAATCTCCAGGCTCAAATGTAACGCGTCTTCTTCCTTTATATGCTTTTGATGCAATCAGCTTTCCTTTCTCTTCGATCTGCATCCTGACCCTTTCATGGAGTGTTTTCACTATCTCGACTTTTCATTCCCCATCCAAGCTACCTCGTTCATGCACAGGCAAAGGCATTAAATCCATAGGTGTTAGTAGATTAAAACCATAAACAATTTCAAAAGGAGAAAACGAAGTAGTAGAATGTGTAGCTCGATTATATGCAAACCCTATAAACGGTAAACACTCTTCCCATGATTTCAGATTTTTAGTGATTACTGTCCTAAGTAGTTGAGTCATAGTTCGATTAACTACCTCAGTTTGTCCATCTGTTTGTGGGTGAGAAGTTGTAGAAAATAATAACTTAGTTCCTAACTTACTCCACAGAACACGCCAAAAATGACTCAAAAACTTCACGTCCCTATCAGACACTATACTTTTAGGTACTTCATGTAAATCTATTTCCCTAAAGAATAAGTCTGCAATATTAGTAGTATCGTCAGTTTTATGACATGGTATGAAGTGTGCCATCTTACTAAACCTATCGACCACTACAAATATTAAATCCCGATCCCTTTTTGTCCTAGGCAACCCTAACACAAAGTCCATAGATATGTCTACCCAAGGTTCACTAGGTACAGGCAAAGGAGAATACAAACCATGGGATTGAACCTTAGACTTAGCCTTTTTACAAGTTATGCACTTTCCACATATTTGTTCTACGTCATGTCGCATTTTAGGCCAATAAAAATGTTCCCCTAACATGTCTAAAGTCTTTTGAACCCCGAAGTGTCCCATTAAACCACCCCTATGTGCTTCCCTTACCAATAATTCACGCAAAGAACAATTAGGAATGCACAACTTATCTTCCCTAAACAAATATCTTTCATGCCTATAGAATTTATCAAATGCACCTTTGTCACATGAAGCATAAATACTAGAAAAATCACAATCAGATTCATACATGACCTTAATATGTTTGAAACCAAGTAGTTTAGTACTTAATGAATTTAAAAGCACGTACCTTCGAGAAAACGCATCAGCAACTATATTTTCGTTACCTTGTTTGTATTTGATGACGTAGGGAAATGTCTCGATAAATTCCACCCATCTCGCATGTTTTTTGTTCAACTTACCTTGACCTCGTAAATGCTTTAAAGATTCATGATCGGTGTATATCACGAATTCCTTTGGCCATAAGTAGTGCTGCCAAGTCTCCAATGCTCGAACAAGTGAATACAGCTCCTTGTCATATGTCGGATAATTCAATGCTGCCCTACTCAACTTTTCGCTAAAGTAAGCAATAGGTCTCCTTTCCTGCATTAACACTGCTCCTATACCTATTCATGATGTATCACACTCAACCTCGAACGTTTTATCAAAATTTGGTAAAGCCAAAACAGGTGCCTTACATAGCTTATCCTTAATGGTGTTAAATGCAATTGCTTGAGATTCTCCCCAATGAAAACCTACACTCTTCTTTACTATTTCAGTCAACGGTGTGGTGATGGTGCTAAAATCTCTTAACTTCAGTTATAGTCTTAGGTGTTGGCCATTCTTTTATAGCTTTTATCTTTTCTTCATCGACTTCAACCCCGTTAGCACTAACCACAAATCCTAGGAAAACAATTATATCCATGCAAAATGTGCACTTTTTGAAATTAGCATACAGTTGTTCATTTCGCAACACAACAAGCACACAATTTAAATGTTCTAAATGCTCATCTAGGTTTTTGCTATAGATTAAGATGTCATCAAAATAAACTACAACAAATTTCCCAATAAAAGCACGCAAAATATGGTTCATTAAACAC